AACTTCACTGACCCGCATGTTTCTAGGGAAATCACTGTTGAGGAAGTAACTGGCACCGACGAGGATGGCGGTGAAATAAAAAGACACGTAATCAAAAGAGAAGTAATAAGAACTTACACGCAAATAGTTAATAATAGTAAAAATCTAACGGAAATTATTGAGGCAACTGATAAGTCTGATAATCCGAAAAAAATCTTTGAAAAAATCCTTAACCCTGAGGGAACGGCTATCGATATAGCGGAATTGAAAAATATAGTTAATGCTGACGGAAAAATTAAGGATGCGGGAATAACTAATGCTGAGACTCACAAAGAGGTTATGACTGCTTTCATAGAATTAACTGGTATTAACCCGTTGAATAATTCGGGCTGAAAAAGTAATTTCTGCGAATTACTGGTGAGCGTAAAGGAAAAAACAAACCAGTCTGAACCTGACGCTTATTATAGTTTCAAGGATGCTAAGGATGGAGATGGTCTTGATGCCAAGCAATTTAATTTGGAAAGAATGGCTAAGGTCGGGCGACATTTAGCCGATTTAAAGATAAATATTGCGACTGATGAGGAAAAAGAATGAAAGCGAAAATTAACGGATTTAGTAGAGTTAGCCCAGATAGTTGGCATTAATCCGCTAACTGACCCCAATTGAAAAACGGAAAAAACTAATGAAATATTTACCATGGAAGCTACCATGTTAGATGAAAATGGTGGCGAGGTAAGAAGAGATGAAGACGAACGGCAAAAATTGCCTAATATTCTTTCTACGGGTGGTAAAAGTTTACCAACATTACTATATCATAATAGTTTGTTTCAAACCTTATTAGGTGAGGGACTCGATTTCCTGGAAGAGGAAGTTGATAGTAGCACAGGTGAAAAAAAAATTCAGAGTGATAGGTTTGGTCATGGTTGAACTTACAAGGTTGATGAAAAAAAAGTAAAAATTTATAAAATTTATAATGACATTAATAACGAGGTAAATATTGAAAAAGAAGTCATCAAAGACAATGGTGAAATTGACTCAGTTAAGTTAGACAAAATAATTAAAGAAGTTAAAAATGCTATCTCGGGTGGTAGCGAAGAGTTAAAAAAAATCAGGGCTCTAACTAATATTCCGAAAAAAAATGTTAATACTGCCACTGGTGATTTTGAGGTTGATATTGCCGAATTGACGAAGGCTGTTGATACATGAGAAAAAGTTGTCGCTAGAAAAAATTTGACAGTAATAAGCACCGCCCACCCTTACAAGGAAATCCTTAATAATAACCAGGACGATATTGAATTAACTAAACTAGACCAAGTGATTGACGAAAGTAAACATTACCAAGCATTAGTTAAAGATTCGACCGATAATAACAATTCTGACATTATTGATGATGGTGATGCCAAAAAACTTAGCGGGACAAAAATAGACGAAATTCGCATAAAATCTACCGCTTATCAAAAATTACTCACTGATAACGACGGAACTCCTCTTGTTGGTGGCGGAGGTAATAAACCTGATTTAGTTTCGGCTGGTCGTATAGACCAAGGCAAAATTAACAATATGGACCGAACTGCTAAGGGTCAAGGAAACACTGTAAATACTGAACTCCAAGACCAAGTCACCGCCCTTAATCTCCAAGTAAACAAGGTTCGAACCCGACTAAGCATTATTAATAGTGTTAGTGGTGACACTATCCCCAATGTGGCTCAAAATACTGATAACGCGGCTAAAATAACGGATAACCAGTTAGAACCGTTCCGAGCCGCCCGAGCCAAAGCGGATGCGGACACTAGTGGCAATGCCAACTGGCATAATGATTTAGTCAAAAAAACTGATTATGATAAGTTGGACGGCAAATTAACTAACATAAATGATAGTTTACATATTCTCGAAGACCCCGCCACTCATCATCAACACGACAATA